TCTTGAGAAGTTGCGGCGTAAGTAACCTAGCATGCGATTAGCGTTGTTAGCAATAAAATCGATCAAGCCAGGGTGGAGGTTGAGAAGATTGGGAATCTGCCAAGATAGTAATTGCGTACCGTAATTTGTTCTGGTTCTGATTTTTATAAAGTTTGTATTTCTAAAATTGTAGTGTGTATCAGTATTCGTATATGTAGAAAGGAATAATTCACGGTCAGTTTTAACTTGGGAGAATATAACCTCAGACAATCGTTGATTATACAGTGCCTCAATATTCAGGATACGATGTTTCTCAAAGTATTGGAATGTATGATCGCGGCTTGATAGGTTTTCAATAAATCGTATACTTTTTTTCTGCATTAAGTACAAACTAGTCATATTACATTTAGATGTAACCCCCCAGACAAGCAAACAATAGTGCAGTCGAGAATGAACAGTAGTGAAATAGAGCTGACGTTTTAGCCACATTGGTAATAAGGCACGAAATCTATTCAGCATGCCAATAGACTGTGCGATGTCACGCTTCACAAAATTCACATGACATGTCCAGCGAAGGTTTTCATGAAAATGTATGCCTAAGAATTTGTATTCGGTAACCCTTTCTAGTGACCGTGACTGGAATACTATTTCGGTAGTAAGGTTAACTGGTCTGTTAATTGAGGAAAAAACAATATATTTTGTTTTGTTAACATTTAGAAGCAGCTGATTCGCATCAAGCCACTTCGATAAGTTTTTGAGCCATGCGTTTGTGACAGGAATAAGAGATGATAGGTCCCTGGATGAAAAAAAAACACTCGTGTCATCGGCGTAAAGTACTATGTCTGGCGTATGGGGGATAGCAACAATGTCATTGATATAAAGAAGGAATAGTATAGGTCCTAATATTGATCCTTGCGGAACACCAAATTTTATATGTTCAGTGTCCGATTCTATACTATTAGCTACCACAAAGTGGCTACGATTTGTCAGATAACTGCGCAATAGTTTAAGTGAAATGCCTCTAATTCCGTAGTGTGGCAGTTTATCAAAGAGAATATTATGCTTGATAGAGTCAAAAGCTTTATTGAAATCTACGAAGATGCCTATAGTGTAGGATTGATTTTCTATATTGCTGATAAGTTTTCCTCGAATGTTAAGTAAAGCTGACTCAGTGGATTTACCTCTCCGAAATCCATATTGGTTTGCAGAAATTAGTCGGTATTTATGAAGATGATTAATTATTCTAGATGTCTACAAAAAGCTCTGTAGGGTTGTGTGGAGGCCCTCTTGCAGCACAGATGTGTATTTGTCCTCACCGTCTCTGGAAAAGACGACCATAACACAGTATGAACGTCCCTCGGAGACAAAAGGCAGACTTTTTGTATTCCGCAGTAACCATGCCTGCGTTCAAATTTTGGCCGTCAAGGGAAAAGGGACGTAGCTTGAGGGTTCAAACTGAACAGATAGCAACCTAGAAGGTTACTCGTGCTTCACTTTAGCTCATCTTGCGCCAGAAAGTGCAGAAGGGGACAAAATAGAAAGTGTCGGGCCAGTTGTACTGTAGGGGCATGTCTACAAAAAGCTCTGTAGGGTTGTGTGGAGGCCCTCTTGCAGCACATATGTGTATTTGTCCTCACCGTCTCTGGAAAAGACGACCATAACACAGTATGAACGTCCCTCGGAGACAAAAGGCAGACTTTTGGTATCCCGCAGTAACCATGCCTGCGTTCAAATTTTGGCCGTCAAGGGAAAAGGGACGTAGCTTGAGGGTTCAAACTGCTCAGATAGCAACCTAGAAGGTTACGCATGCTTCAGTCGAGCTCATCCTGCACCAGAAAAAGCACAAGGGGGGAATATAGGAGTGTGGGAGCGGTTGTACTGTGGCGGCATGTCTAGAAAAAGCTCAAAAGTGATTTGTGGAGTCCCTCTTGCGGCGCAGACCTGTATTTGTCCTCACCGTCTCTGGGAAAGACCACCCTAACAAAAGAATGGACGTGAAACTGAGGCAAAGGGCGTAGTTTTGCTTCGAGGTAGAAACAGCGCCTGCGTTCAGATGTTGGCCGTCAAGTGAAAACGGACTTAGCTTGAGGGTTCAAACTGAACAGGTAGCAAGCTAGAAGGTTACTCATGCTTCAGTCGAGCTCATCTTGCACCAGAAAAAGCACAAGGGGGGAAAATAAAGAGTGTGGGGCCAGTTGTCCTCTAGGGGCATGTATACAAAAAGCTCTGCAGGAACAAACCTTTTCCCGAGGTGGACAGCAGGGGCCTGAAGACATAAATAAAAAAGAAGTGACACATTTAACGAGTCTTCACTGCGCCGGAAAAACAAGAATCAGCTCATTTCTTTTTGAGACCTCAGACTTTATTAGGCCAAGAATACAATTTTTCAGACGAGCTGTCTCAATGTAAAAACACACTTCCTTATTAGTACCCTTTCGACACACAAACAGTCCTACCTGGTGCGAGACCCTTCCCCAACAATTTGATAGTTGTACGTACCTATAATGGTTTTCTAATTACGAGCGAGCGGCAGCTCTTTGAAGTCTTGCTCGCGCTCTGGTGAGCCTTCAAACGACCAGCCGCTCCGCCGAGCGCGCGCCGCACGAGATGAATGAATTAAAATAATCTCGCGCGCATAGCGAACGTTCCTTTTACCCGAGGGAGCGCTTCAGAACAAAAAAGCAAATTGTGGTAGCAAATGATGAAGCGGTAAGCAATATCGAACCTGAAAATGACTGCTTTCGTGCGGGAAGTAGCATCAGTGCTCGTACAGTAACCTATCGACTCGATCAGAGGCAAACTACAGTCGTCGGGTCTTCTACGGAACGCGTGCTCACGTTTGACACCAACATCGCGTCTCGGAAACGAAAATTCAGCCTCGAAGGTCCGAACACAGGCTCGGAAATCAGAATTGGCCGCCATGACCATGCCCACGGTAAAAGCGTCGTAGCTTCGCGAAAGCTTTTATTTCACACGTTCAAAGTGGTGTCCATAGAGTCTAGAAAGAACAAGGAACACATCGGTGCTAGCGGTGATGAGATACGACCAGTATTAATGAAGGAAGTGTCTATTCTGCCGGCAGCCGGCAGAATAACCGGCGGGGGAAAAAGTGCCGGCAGTAGTCGCCTATTGGGTCTCGTATAAAACGGATTGTAAACACGCCTATTCCGCGCTGTGGATTAGCTCAGTGGGTAAGATGTGCGCTTCGTACACAGCAGGATCTTAGTTCAGTCCCCCGAGAAAATTTGTTTTTTTTTTTTTCTTCGGACTTTTGTTTTTTGTTGAGGTATTAGGCGATATTTACGGCATCCCTCTTTTAGAATTAACACTACAAAAAGAACGCGCAAAAAAAAAAAAAACAGAAAAAACACCAGAAATCAGAGGGGTTCTCCGAGCGGTTTTAAAAGGTCGATAAAACAACTTTTGCGTTTGCTATCTCGAAGAAATTTGACACACAAACAGTCCTACCTGGTGCAAGACCCTTCCCCAACAATTTGATAGTTGTACCTATAATTGTTTTCTAATTACGAGCGGGCGGCAGCTCTTTGAAGAATATCAATCCACTCGTGCTCGGGAGACTGTCCCCGTTGATCGAAAAGTCTCGATTGAGATGAGCCGACACGGTTTCACTGCACGCACATTTTCCTACGATGTTGTTTTCACGACCACGATCGATGAATGCACTCCAGCGGTCTTGAATATTCACGGGTAAACGATTGAACTTGGTCGGGGTTGTTAATCTCCAAGCAGAGTCCCAAAAACCTGTTTTCGCGAACATAACGAGTTCTAGACTAGCTGGAGCGATGAAAATTTAACAGTGCGTCTAAATTCAGAGCGCGATCATTCGCTGCGAATTAGAACCTTCTAACTATCGTAGTTTTCTTTATACGAGCATATGCCAAATCACAACACCACAGAATGAAGCCTTACACGTAAACTTTTTAATCATCACTTTCTTATTAGATTAGCTACATCGATGAGACGCGCCTAGAATGTTCCTCGGAACATAATATCACTCGCCTGGTTAAAATAAATGACCCAGCTAGCACTTGTGGATTGATATATTTGAATACAAAGTACAGAGATACAAAAAAAGAAGAGAAAACGCAAGTTCAAAGGCTGTATAGATAATACAACGCCGCTGACAGCGTCTTGCAATAAGCGCAACAGAGAACATTAAAAGAATGCATGTGCGCGCTTTTGGGCGAGCACACACATAAAAAAAAACACATTTCTTTTTTTTTTCACGATTACCACTGGAAAAAATCAAATTCCTGAATAAAACTGATAAGGTACTTCATTTCCGCAGGTGTGCACAGCAGGGGCCTCTTTGTCCGTTTAACCTCAGATTGTTATATTATATTAAAAACGCAACACCAGGTAATCCGTAAAATGGGAGAGCGGAACAGGGGAAAATTGTAACGTAATAGCTCACAACAAAGTTGGGAGGAGTGGCAGTAGTGGGCAAGAGGAAAATAAAACACCATGCAGAGAGTTATCAAACAAACGCTCGATCGACTACAAAACATTGTCAGATATAAATCTGCGATGAGGTAGGCTGTTTCATTCTGTTATGGTTCTGGGAAAGGACTATTTAAATGCATTTGTAAGGAGATCAAGACCCTATGGCGTCGGGAAGTATTTAAATTCTTTTTTTTATATTTAGTTTCTATTCATTTACACTGCAGGCCATTTCCAATCCCCAAGCAGGGTGCGACGAGAAGGAACAAAAAAATAACAGTAAACCGACAAATCTGGTACACTGGAGATCACAAAAAGAAAGAAAAAACACAAGTTCAAAGGCTATGTATAGATATAACAGAACGCCGCTGATGGCGTCTTGCAATAAGCTCAAACATAAGAAAGAAGAATTTATGTCCTCGCTCTTTTTTATTTTTTTTTTTCACGATTACCACGGGAAAAAATCAAATCTCTGAAGAAACTGATAAGGTACTTACTTCGTTTCCGCAGGTGTGCACAGCAGGGGCTTCGTCCTCACCAGCAAAACACAAAACAACAGATTTTTCCTTTTTTGCCTCACATTTTAATAACCTCAGACTTTATTAGGCCGACAATGCAAGTTTCCAGACGAGCTGTCTCGATGAAAACACACTTGTTCCTATTCAGTGAATTCGCACGAGCTAACACGATTTCATAAAAACACTTTTTGCTTGGAGCAAGTTCTCAGTTGCCATTCAAGCGGTCTTGATTAAGCACAGGTCATCCGCAGCTGAAGGAGGTCACTTGAAACGGAGGGCCAGCCGTGCAACTCGCTCTTGCGCTGCACAAAAAGACAATCTAGCGCCCTACATTAAAGATGCACCGAACGTTCTTACGCCATACACATATATTTTTTTCATTTCTTCCGTGCGTCAGAGAGTGATGAAACGTTTGAGTTCGTAGAGGCCGGCTTCCTAGCTCCGCGCCGCCGCCGATTCCGTGTTTGATAAAAAAAAAAAAACTGCTCCGACTTTACTCAAATAGATTAACAATTTAATCAAACGTTTCGTCTACCATCCGGGAAACATCGTCAGTGAAACCTACAAGCAGGAATGAGGGAAAAAAAAAACTCGATTCCGTGTTTCCCGTGAAAAGAACAAAAGAATTCGTGCAAGAAGTCGGCTCCAACGGTCGCCCAAGAGACAAAGGAGCTGTAGCAGACGGCAGAGGTTCGGGGAAAGCTCACGCCACTAGCAAAGCCTGGCCTGGCTCGGCGCCGCCGATTCCGTGTTTCCCGTGAAAAGAACAAAAGAATTCGTGCAAGAAGTCGGCTCCAACGGTCGCCCAAGAGACAAAGGAGCTGTAGCAGACGACAGAGTTTCGGGGAAAGCTCATTGCACTACCAAGGCCTTGCCTGGCGCGGCTGCCCGCCCGCCGAAACCGCTCCTCCTTTCCCTCGTTCGGGAGACGCTAGTATCTTTTGTTTTTGGCTTCTTGTCGGCTGCGTTCTTGGCGCCCGACTTGATTGACAGCCACTGTCTGGCGGTCTGCTTTAATCTCTTGTTCCCTGCCTTGCAGCGGGGACTGCTCCTCTTTGTGCAATAGCTACTCTGGGGCGTTTTTCTTTTTGCTATTCTTTGCTTTAAAAGCTCTTTCCCTGCGTCTAGCAAACACACACACTTCTTTCGCGGCACCGTTAATGAACACCGTCTGCGTTTAGAAACTTAAAAACGAACAGCCCCGAACTCGATTACCGAAGCTCCGATGAAATTAATCAGCGCGCCAAGCGAAAACCCAACACGCTCGAACGCTGATTTTACGATGCAAGATAATAAAAAAAAAACGTATTTGGACCCTACCAAACCTATTACAGCAAGAAATTAAGAAATACGAGCAAAACAATATTGCGCAATCCTTAATCGGACGTTCGAATAGCGGCTGACTTCGTTTTATCAGTTAAAAAAATAATAAACGTAGGTAGACACGCTGAACTTCACGTATAGCCACTCTAACACATACCGTTTTAAAGCCAACAGTTTATTTATTATTTCGTGCCAACTGAGAAATCGACACGAGCTCAAAAGACGAATTTTGCCTAACGAAAACTGCCCAAACGCCTAGGATGTCACGCTTGCATAATTGTGGAATGCCTTTTTCCCACCCTATTATAGTTTGATCGCTCACTCCTCTCTTTTTCCGAGGCAGTATTCCATCATTTCGCGATGGAATACGCGCTTCAAAGCTCAATACACTTTATATCTTTGCCGAGCATGGACCTATCAAAAAAAGCACTTCCATGAAACATGCCTAGGTAAATCTTGCTCGCGCTCTGGTAAAGAGCCTTCAAAAAAACGACCAGCCGCTCCGCCGAGAATTCAATTCATCTTGCGCGCCTATATCACGCTCAATATAGTAGATCCCATTAAAAGCCTTCTTTGCCGAAACTCGGAAAAGCGTGCAGAATCACGCACGCTCAGAAAAGAACATTTCCATCTACCAACCGCCGAGCACAACAAACGCTCTTCTAATCTCCTCGCAAAACGCACGCGCTCACACAAACGACTTTGGGCAAAAACAAAGATCATGAAATGATCTTTGTTTTTATTCCCAGCGTCATGTACACGCATTTCTTGCGTGGAACAACGAATGAATAACTGCTATCTGCGTTTAATTCGATCTAGAAATCCCGTCGCGCCCGTTTGTTTACTTTCTGCCTTCCAGGTTAGACAACGTTCCTTCAAAAAATTGTAAAAAATCAATTCGTGCTAGAAGTGCGTGCTTCGGACGAGAGGTAGCGAAAATTAAGCGCCTTAGTTTGCGATTAAATAAGCGTCTGTACGCGTTTAATTGAAACTTGAAAGCACGCCGCCCGTCACGCGCGATGCCGGCGTTCGCTTTTCCAGGAGGGTTAAACACACTGCTCCTTTTTTCTTTAAGTTGAAAAAAGGTAATAATAAAAGTAGATAGAGATTCTTAATTTCGTGTGCCTTTATACAAACGTGTGCGCTAAAAGCACAGAAAAAGAGACTGTTCTAAAGGTAGTAGTTCACTTTTATTTTTAATTTTTGCCTGATCTTAGACGATCGGATCGCGGCTCGAGCGCGCTCCGGACTCAACCGCTTCACTCTCTAACCCAAGAAAAAATAGTTGTACGCATATCGAAGTATATATTTTCCGAAAGCTAATGAACTTGTCCAATAGGTGTAAAAATTATTTGATTTTAAACGGAATTATTCTTCTTCATATTTCGATCTAACCAGCCAAACTAGTTTTCGGGTGCTCTGGGTGGCTGGTCGATTTAAGTTAAAAAAAGGTAATAATAAAAGTAGATAGAGATTCTTAATTTCGTGTGCCGTTAGGGAAACGTGTGCGCTAAGAGCACAGAATAATAAGATTCTTGTGAAGCGAGTAGTTCGTTTTTATTTTTGCCTGGTCTTAGACGATCGAATCGCGGCTCGAGCGCGCTCCGGACTCTCCCGCTAAAAATCGGACTCTCCCGATAAAAATCAAAGCTAGAAGCAAAGAACGCACCGGACAAGAAGCAACGCCAAAGAAAGATAACGGATACAGTCTCAAAGAGCTAAGTGGGTCAGGGGGCCCAGGCAAGGGGTGGCCCTAGGGTGCCTGAATGTCCTTCTGTTTAGGGTGATGCCACCCTTTGTAGTACCAGATGCCGACAGCACGCGCTCACGGGCAAAATACAAAGAAATCGACGAAAACAAAAGGTCGCCATAGCACATTCAGCGCCACAAGCGCGTGCAGGGACACGCTCTTTCACCTGCTTCTCAACAAAAAATAAACGTGTGTGACAAAATGGCGAGATGCCACCACCCTAAGCAAAGCGCGCATGAAGGCACCCTAGGTGGCCCGGCGTGCGCGTTCTAAGCGGAGTCGAGTTAGAAAAAAGATTTCAGCGCGTGGTTCACCAAATGCAAAGGTAGAAATATGACATTTTCTAAAAATGCCTGGCACTTCGTTCTCTTCTACAGCACGAGCCGCGACGTTCGGCAACCGCTTCGAGGATCTGACCGGCTGTGTCCCGGTATCGACCACCTGAACCGGGAGCTACGCACGGTGCGAAGGGAACAGCGGAGGCACGAGCATCTACGCCACCCCGTCCCTGGACTGAGCGGCTACACAAGCGAGGAAACGAGCCTCGTCACGACATATGCCGGGGAATCTCTAGGCCTCGTAGAACTTTCTGTCTCCCGACCCTTCTCTTACCAACCCCGGACGAGCCTGTGACAACGTGCGACAGACATTGCTAATTGTTCTGTACAAAAGAGAACGAAGTGAGATGACAATTTCGTGTGCCGCTAAAAAAACGTGCGCGCCAAGAGCACAGAAAAACAAGTTAAAAAATGTAATAATAAACGGAGATAGAGATTCTTAATTTCGTGTGCCGTTAGAGAAACGTGTGCGCTAAGAGCACAGAATAATAAGATTCTTGTGAAGCGAGTAGTTCATTTTAATTTTTGCCTGATCTTAGACGATCGAATCGCGGCTCGCGCGCGCTCCGGACTTTCCCGCTTCACCTGCTTCACTCTCTAACGCAACGAGAAATACTTTTACGCATATCGAAGTATATATTTTCCGAAAGCTAATGAAATTCTCCGATAGGTGTGAAAAGCACTTGGTTTTAAACGAATTATTCTTCTTTTTTTGCTGAAAAACTCAAATCACTTTCGTTTGGCAAATAATCAAAAACTCGAAATTAAAGGATAGTATAATGGACGTACACTTACCCCAATGTGTCGAACGAAAGGAGGCCCTTTGACGAAGGCAGGAAGCGTGAGGCGACGTTCGGGGTCCGAAGAAGAAGAAGACCGATTTCGGAACAAAGAACAAAGAAGGAGCTGGACACGGGCGACTACGCGACTGCTCCCAAGCACAACGGAAACCACACTGGGGCCGGCCTCTGGGAACAAAGGAAAGCGGAGGAGGATGAGCGAGGAGGAGAGGGAAAGAGAAGGAAAAAAGTCGGGAAGGGGATCGCGCCGCCTGGTGGAGGGCAGACACACCATTCGCATCGGGTATTTTTTTCTTTATTATTTTGTTTATTTTTTGCACTATTTATTAAGGGAAGCATTCTCGTTGATCTCCCTTCATTAATACTGGTCGTATCTCATCACCGCTAGCACCGATGTGTTCCTTGGTCTTTCTAGATTCTATGGACACCACTTTGAACGTGTGAAATAAAAGTTTTCGCGATGCTACGACGCTTTTACCGTGGGCATGGTCATGGCGGCCATTTCTACTTTTAGAAACCTTTGTTCGGACCTCCGAGGCTGAATTTTCGTTTCCGAGACGCGATGTTGGTGTCAAACGTGAGCAGGCGTTTCGTAGAACACCCGACGGCTGTACTTTACCTCTGATCGCGTGGATATTTTACTGTAGGAGCACTGATGCGACTTTCCACAGGAAAGCACTAATTTTCGGGTTCGATATTGCTCGGCGCTCCTCTGTCGTACGTTTTCTTGAGAAAACTTTTTGTTTTTTGTTTAGCAACGGCCAGTGCACCTTTCGAAAGTTATTAGAAAACTTTATCTGCTCTGGATTTTAAATAAAGACACACCTGCGTCCTGTAGCCGAAAGATTTTTTTTCTAAGCTTTGGAACCTCCTTTCGTAAAGGTATGCCTACTGAAATTTGAGGCCTCTGGTACCTTGCTACCTGTGAAGTTTCAACCCTCTGGATGCATCCGTTTTCCTCTGACGGCCAAAATTTGAATGCAGGCCTGTCTTAGTAAATCACGTTTGTTTTGATTAAAGTGTGTCTCCACATGTTACGGGGTGTGGGCTCTGTAGGGTTGTGTGGAGTCCCTCTTGCAGCACAGATGTGCATTTGTCCTCACCATCTCTGGAAAAGACGACCATAACTCAGAATGGACGTCCCTCGGAGACGAATGGCAGACTTTTGGTATTCCGCAGTAACCATGCCTGCGTTCAAATTTTGGCCGTCAAGGGAAAAGGGACGTAGCTTGAGGGTTCAAACTGAACAGATAGCAACCTAGAAGGTTACTCGTGCTTCAGTTTAGCTCATCTTGCGCCAGAAAGTGCACAAGGGGACAAAATAGAAAGTGTCGGGCCAGTTGTACTGTAGGGGCATGTCTACAAAAAGCTCTGTAGGGTTGTGTGGAGGCCCTCTTGCAGCACATATGTGTATTTGTCCTCACCGTCTCTGGAAAAGACGACCATAACACAGAATGAACGTCCCTCGGAGACAAAAGGCAGACTTTTTGTATTCCGCAGTAACCATGCCTGCGTTCAAATTTTGGCCGTCAAAGGAAAAGGGACGTAGCTTGAGGGTTCAAACTGAACAGATAGCAACCTAGAAGGTTAGTCGTGCTTCAGTTTAGCTCATCTTGCGCCAGAAAGTGCAGAAGGGGACAAAATAGAAAGTGCCGGGCCAGTTGTACTGTAGGGGCATGTCTACAAAAAGCTCTGTAGGGTTGTGTGGAGGCCCTCTTGCAGCACATATGTGTATTTGTCCTCACCGTCTCTGGAAAAGACGACCATAACACAGAATGAACGTCCCTCGGAGACAAAAGGCAGACTTTTTGTATTCCGCAGTAACCATGCCTGCGTTCAAATTTTGGCCGTCAAGGGAAAAGGGACGTAGCTTGAGGGTTCAAACTGAACAGATAGCAACCTAGAAGGTTAGTCGTGCTTCAGTTTAGCTCATCTTGCGCCAGAAAGTGCACAAGGGGACAAAATAGAAAGTGTCGGGCCAGTTGTACTGTAGGGGCATGTCTACAAAAAGCTCTGTAGGGTTGTGTGGAGGCCCTCTTGCAGCACAGATGTGCATTTGTCCTCACCGTCTCTGGAAAAGACGACCATAACTCAGAATGGACGTCCCTCGGAGACGAATGGCAGACTTTTGGTATTCCGCAGTAACCATGCCTGCGTTCAAATTTTGGCCGTCAAGGGAAAAGGGACGTAGCTTGAGGGTTCAAACTGAACAGATAACAACCTAGAAGGTTAGTCGTGCTTCAGTTTAGCTCATCTTGCGCCAGAAAGTGCACAAGGGGACAAAATAGAAAGTGTCGGGCCAGTTGTACTGTAGGGGCATGTCTACAAAAAGCTCTGTAGGGTTGTGTGGAGGCCCTCTTGCAGCACATATGTGTATTTGTCCTCACCGTCTCTGGAAAAGACGACCATAACTCAGAATGGACGTCCCTCGGAGACGAATGGCAGACTTTTGGTATTCCGCAGTAACCATGCCTGTGTTCAAATTTTGGCCGTCAAGGGAAAAGGGACGTAGCTTGAGGGTTCAAACTGAACAGATAGCAACCTAGAAGGTTAGTCGTGCTTCAGTTTAGCTCATCTTGCGCCAGAAAGTGCAGAAGGGGACAAAATAGAAAGTGCCGGGCCAGTTGTACTGTAGGGGCATGTCTACAAAAAGCTCTGTAGGGTTGTGTGGAGGCCCTCTTGCAGCACATATGTGTATTTGTCCTCACCGTCTCTGGAAAAGACGACCATAACACAGAATGAACGTCCCTCGGAGACAAAAGGCAGACTTTTTGTATTCCGCAGTAACCATGCCTGCGTTCAAATTTTGGCCGTCAAGGGAAAAGGGACGTAGCTTGAGGGTTCAAACTGAACAGATAGCAACCTAGAAGGTTAGTCGTGCTTCAGTTTAGCTCATCTTGCGCCAGAAAGTGCACAAGGGGACAAAATAGAAAGTGTCGGGCCAGTTGTACTGTAGGGGCATGTCTACAAAAAGCTCTGTAGGGTTGTGTGGAGGCCCTCTTGCAGCACAGATGTGCATTTGTCCTCACCGTCTCTGGAAAAGACGACCATAACTCAGAATGGACGTCCCTCGGAGACGAATGGCAGACTTTTGGTATTCCGCAGTAACCATGCCTGCGTTCAAATTTTGGCCGTCAAGGGAAAAGGGACGTAGCTTGAGGGTTCAAACTGAACAGATAACAACCTAGAAGGTTAGTCGTGCTTCAGTTTAGCTCATCTTGCACCAGAAAGTGCACAAGGGGACAAAATAGAAAGTGTCGGGCCAGTTGTACTGTAGGGGCATGTCTACAAAAAGCTCTGTAGGGTTGTGTGGAGGCCCTCTTGCAGCACATATGTGTATTTGTCCTCACCGTCTCTGGAAAAGACGACCATAACTCAGAATGGACGTCCCTCGGAGACGAATGGCAGACTTTTGGTATTCCGCAGTAACCATGCCTGCGTTCAAATTTCGGCCGTCAAGGGAAAAGGGACGTAGCTTGAGGGTTCAAACTGAACAGATAGCAACCTAGAAGGTTAGTCGTGCTTCAGTTTAGCTCATCTTGCACCAGAAAGTGCAGAAGGGGACAAAATAGAAAGTGCCGGGCCAGTTGTACTGTAGGGGCATGTCTACAAAAAGCTCTGTAGGGTTGTGTGGAGGCCCTCTTGCAGCACATATGTGTATTTGTCCTCACCGTCTCTGGAAAAGACGACCATAACACAGAATGAACGTCCCTCGGAGACAAAAGGCAGACTTTTTGTATTCCGCAGTAACCATGCCTGCGTTCAAATTTTGGCCGTCAAGGGAAAAGGGACGTAGCTTGAGGGTTCAAACTGAACAGATAGCAACCTAGAAGGTTAGTCGTGCTTCAGTTTAGCTCATCTTGCGCCAGAAAGTGCACAAGGGGACAAAATAGAAAGTGTCGAGCCAGTTGTACTGTAGGGGCATGTCTACAAAAAGCTCTGTAGGGTTGTGTGGAGGCCCTCTTGCAGCACAGATGTGCATTTGTCCTCACCGTCTCTGGAAAAGACGACCATAACTCAGAATGGACGTCCCTCGGAGACGAATGGCAGACTTTTGGTATTCCGCAGTAACCATGCCTGCGTTCAAATTTTGGCCGTCAAGGGAAAAGGGACGTAGCTTGAGGGTTCAAACTGAACAGATAGCAACCTAGAAGGTTAGTCGTGCTTCAGTTTAGCTCATCTTGCGCCAGAAAGTGCACAAGGGGACAAAATAGAAAGTGTCGGGCCAGTTGTACTGTAGGGGCATGTCTACAAAAAGCTCTGTAGGGTTGTGTGGAGGCCCTCTTGCAGCACATATGTGTATTTGTCCTCACCGTCTCTGGAAAAGACGACCATAACACAGTATGAACGTCCCTCGGAGACAAAAGGCAGACTTTTTGTATTCCGCAGTAACCATGCCTGCGTTCAAATTTTGGCCGTCAAGGGAAAAGGGACGTAGCTTGAGGGTTGAAACTGAACAGATAGCAACCTAGAAGGTTAGTCGTGCTTCAGTTTAGCTCATCTTGCGCCAGAAAGTGCAGAAGGGGACAAAATAGAAAGTGCCGGGCCAGTTGTACTGTAGGGGCATGTCTACAAAAAGCTCTGTAGGGTTGTGTGGAGGCCCTCTTGCAGCACAGATGTGCATTTGTCCTCACCGTCTCTGGAAAAGACGACCATAACACAGAATGAACGTCCCTCGGAGACAAAAGGCAGACTTTTTGTATTCCGCAGTAACCATGCCTGCGTTCAAATTTTGGCCGTCAAGGGAAAAGGGACGTAGCTTGAGGGTTCAAACTGAACAGATAGCAACCTAGAAGGTTACTCGTGCTTCAGTTTAGCTCATCTTGCGCCAGAAAGTGCACAAGGGGACAAAATAGAAAGTGTCGGGCCAGTTGTACTGTAGGGGCATGTCTACAAAAAGCTCTGTAGGGTTGTGTGGAGGCCCTCTTGCAGCACAGATGTGCATTTGTCCTCACCGTCTCTGGAAAAGACGACCATCACTCAGAATGAACGTCCCTCGGAGACGAAAGGCACACTTTTGGTTTGGCGCAGAAACAGCGCCTGCGTTCAGATGTTGGCCGTCAAGTGAAAACGGACTTAGCTTGAGGGTTCAAACTGAACAGATAGCAAGCTAGAAGGTTACTCATGCTTCAGTCGAGCTCATCTTGCACCAGAAAAAGCACAAGGGGGGAAAATAAAGAGTGTGTGGCCAGTTGTACTCTAGGGGCATGTATACAAAAAGCTCTGCAGGAACAAACCTTTTCCCGTGGTGGACAGCAG